AGGAGGCATGGTAAAAGGAAACACACAGGGGTTTAATAGTGCACAAAATAATAGTGACAGTCCGTGAGACAGTGAGCGGGGAAGACAAGGAATAGCATCCAAATCCAAACAGGTCCACACGCAGGTTAGGGCACAGTCTGAGAGTCCATCAGCGAGAAATCCACCCTGGGACGCGACAAAGTTGAAATCCCCGGGAGGGTGGAACACACGAACAGACAAAATATGGAGGTCCAAGGGTGACGGGGCGAGATCCTCCAGACCATGGGCTCAGGAAGCGGGAGGTGTCGGGGATGAGGCCTATGCCCTCAGGAGACGGACATAGGGTTTCATGGTGCCAGGCGGGCCTCGCGACATCCTTACCCTAATGATGAGCCCCAAGGACTGGAGGAGCTAGTCTTTAAATAATATACCTAAGAGGGTACACCTGGGGAGCTTAACACTCACAAGGACAATAACGGGAGCAGTGGAGCGCCCTCTAGGGAGGGATGTTGGGCATGACAATCTAGCATATGAACTATCTTTAAAAGACCCTTCTCCAGCGTAAAGTAGGCCTCTTTATAATATCATTGAAAGATCATGAAAAAGGAACAAAACAAGATAAATGCAGCCATATAATGCTCATCACTTGAGAGAGTACCACACAATGGCACCCTCAGCTCTGGCTGGCACTGCACTTTTATAACAAGACTGTTCAGTTTTGAAGACAGACCAGTCTTTGTAAATTGTTATCCTCAATGAATATCTCGAAAACTCTTTACAAAAAAACTGGACTAAAAATGGCATAGATGCCTGCAGCACTGTCGCATATTAAAGGTTTCCAGTAAAAATGTTTAAGCTGTGAGGTCCTGAAACACAAAACTGCTTATTGTAATTGAAATATCTAAATTTTAAGTGTTAAATTACTTAAGACTGTTAAAAAGATGTGGCATTGCAAAATGAGGAGAACAAGATGGCAAATGTTCGGCCCACTACATTCCCCAAGGAACGCTGTGAGAAATACCAACGGCATGCCATCACCTGACCAGTGGGGCAAACTCAATTAGTCAGATGACCACATGAATCCAGAAGGAAAAGCTTGCTGGGGCGCCATATCAGTTTTCTAGCAAAAAGAGCAGATCCCATCAGAGTGCAGCATGAGAGGTAGAGTGGCTATTGGTGTTTGCATGCTGTATGTGGATTGATTGTGGTCTGTGTTGGTAGTCAGCTTAGCTGCCCAGTTATGGTTTATTAATGTTATCCCGTTGTAAATCAACACAATCCTAGTAGGGTTTATGTGCCTCCACCTTTGAGTGTTAGCCAAAGCATCTGATCTCTTTTCTACTCACTCTCTAGTGTAAAAGAAGCAATTTCACACCATGGTGGTATTGTCTGTAATAACCACAAATCCACACACCACATGCTAACGTTTTGAGACTCTCAGGCTCCATCCCTCCTGTCAAGCATGATGGTGGCAGCATTATGTTATAGTTTCTTCATATCAGCAGAGACTGGGGAGGTTGTCAAGACTGATGGAAACATAGATGGAGCAAAGTATTGGCAAATCATAGAGGACAATCACCTTCAGGGCTAAAACTGGGTACAGAAATACCTTTTGGCAGGATAATGATTCAAAGCACAGGGTCAAAGTTCTACTGGGGTGGCTTAAGGATGAGATAGTGAATGTACTCGTGTGGCCTAGTCAAAGACCTGACTTGAATCAATAGAGAATCTGTGGAAAGACTTGAAAACTGCAGTCCATAAGTGATTTTCAAGCATGTTGAGAGAGCTTGAGCAAATCTGGCAAGAATAATGAGCAGAAATTGCACCAAGATTACTGTATGTAGATTTAGATAATGTTTTTAAACTTTAGATCTTATTAAATGTGTTTCCCTGTTAATTGGCTCTAGATGATTATGTAAATTATAAAAATGTAAACTATTAGATGATCATGTAAATTGTGTAAAATGTAAATCATTCAGAATTGAAATATAATAGTCTCACAAGGGTCTAATCCTAATATTAGGTGTACTGTCTTAACACAGTAGTAAAGTGCACAGTGGTAGCACAGTGTTATCTTTATGGCCTATAAAATATATATATAGACTACTCAGGTCAAGAAATACCCCAAATGTGCTTTTTGTGTTTCAGTTTTTGGCATTTCTGTAATACCAGCCATCTGTATTAGGTGCCATGTGTATACACAGCACCAAATTCTACCCAAACCATCTGTTTAGTTTTTGGAGAAAGTGTACAGTACATTTCCATCTATCTATAATCATAAACTGACTTAGTCCTGGCAAAGGCCCAAGCAAGATAATATTGCCTCTATCGTGATCCAACAGAATGAAATATGATCAGCTTTTATGAATAATATTAAGTGATAAAATGCCTTTTGTGTTCAGAGAAAGATTTTCATATTATTTTAATATTAATACATTACTCTTGATAGACATTAGTGAAATCATATATCATACAGTATCATGTGGTCGTTATGATACCAAATTACCATATTGATACCAAATTGTTTAAATGATACTAAATAATTTAAATTTGGTATACTAATATCAAATTTAATCAAATCACATTGTTTATGTTACAGTTTTACAATTTTACACAATTGCTGTACTTCAAGACGTTACTGATATAGTTGTAAATATTAAAAAATGCCTTGCTATTTCAAGAGTTTAGTTACTATTTAG